CAGCCTGTTTTTCTGATTCTCCTCTGCCTCATCCCGTCCTCATCCTCCCAGTGTCCCCAGCCTGTGCAGTTACAGCCATCACAGAATCTTCAGAAGGAAGGAGCGGGATACTGAGCAGACTCTCTGCGGTTGCCAGGGGTGGGCTTGGACCAAGAGGTAAGGGTCCTCTGCTCCTCTCCTCTCCTTCTACAGCCACTGCTATCCCAACGCTGCCAGCCTGCTGTCAGTGGTGGTTTCTCGTGGAGAGCGGCAGAGCGCTCTGCACCCACCCTGCTCCCAAAGTAAGGTTCAAGCATAAGCCTCCCCCTTCTCCAAGGCCAGCTGAGGAGCTTCCACTTCCCCCCTCCACGACAGTTTCAACTTGACAGCTCCTAATAAACCAAACTTTAGGAAGCAGCCCCTGGAGAGCCCCTGGAAGCTAATTAATGCTCTAATGAAGAGCCTGACTGCCTTGTTTGCTCGACGGCTCCCAGGTCAATCAATCTCTCATAGCCCGGCTTGCAAAAAAGCAGCCCAGCACCCCTGGCGACTGCTCGGTTATCATCCCCCGCCACCCCTCCCCGTCCCTCCTCCCACGTTCATTACTGTCAAAAACCCGGCAGCAAGAGGGCAGATTTATAGAGGTGATTGCAGCTTCTCCCTGTGTGCCTGCTCCAGGATTAGTCACGAAGGAACCAGCCGAGGGACGACGCAAGGATGGAGGGGTGGGAAGAGTGCAGAGGCACGGGGAGGTGGGTGCTCTGCAGATCAGGATGGGCAGGTCTGTGCCTGAGTATGAAAGGGGTAAGGGGGTGCTTGTGGGGGGTTTGCCACAACCTCCTGCTTGTGTGATAGCCCTGCTTTTTAATTCTGCTGTTGCCAGAAAGACTTCCCAGCACTCAGACCCCAGGCCCTCTCAGAGCTCTGCCGAATCACCCTCTCACTTGTGCTGCAGGGGAAAGATAAGTGAGGTAATGCATACGAGGACAATGACAATTTAATACACCAGCACAAATCTGCTCAAGCCTCCTTGCCAAAGGAGTCCTATCCAGACATCCTAGCCTGCCGAGATCACAGCAGAGTCCTCACCATGTGCAGGGCCGCCAGAGACTGTCTGCTGCCCTTGTCGGAGTCCCACAGATCGCACGGACACACACTGCTCCCAGACAGCACCTCCCATCTCAGCCACTCCATCCCTGAAAACCTGGCAGGGAGAAGCAAGATCCAACGAGGAGCCAGGAACAGAGCCCGCCTGGCCGTCCTCGGGTCTCCCTTTGACCCACATGCATCTATCTACCATCTTCCACTCTCAGGCAGGACCCAGAGCCTGGGCATGGCTCTCCCTCCATGCTCACTTGAGCAGCGAGGGGGTACTGCTCAGCCAGCATCCTCATGCTGAGAGCTCAGCCCAAATCCCAATGCTTTCAGAGTCACCTGGGTTCAAAAGGAACCACCTGCATTCTGCCTCCCCTAAACCTGGAGAGATTAGCAAGTGCTGGGGAGCCACCACACCTGTCCCCTCCAAGGACAGGACACATCTGTCCTGACTGATCTCTTGCAGGTCAGTCCAGTGAGGCTAGCATGGGGGACACTCTTCTACACCTGGAAAGGGGCAAGT